GACCAGAAGGAGTGGATGGAACTGGGTTCAGCAAGGCAGCCAAGGATATTGCATTCTCGACCGTTCGTGGAGGCAGCCCTCGGATTAGTGCTGTGCGTGCTTCAAACGAAAGAAGTATTGAACCCAGACCAGCTGGAGTGGATGGAACTGGCTGCAGTAAGACGATGACAGATTGTAACATCTCTCACACTCATGGAGACAGCACTGGGAGCAGTGACGCAATCAATCGGACTGACTTTAGCAGCAAGACAGTGACGGATTGTAAAGTCTCACAAAATGTTGCCAATTCTTCTACCCATGGAGGCAGCGTTCATAACAGTTCCGCAACTGCTCCACATGACGGAAGTGCAGAATCCAGACCAGCAGGAATTGATGCAACTGGCTTCGGCAAGAAACTAGAGCATGGTGGGCTTGCAGAGATTGCCGGGTTCGATGCTTCAGATGCTCCATTGGATGGAGGAGTAGGCGCTGGATTTGTCCTGAGCAGATTTGTCCTGAGCAGGATTGTTTGTCAGGGAAAAGAGAGCCACAAACAATAAGGTGTTTTGCTCGGCAAACATGTCTCCCTTAAGGGTCCCCTTACCTTCTTTTCTTCTCGTTAGTTCTCGAACTTTCGGAACAAAACTACCGCCTCATTTGACCAGGAAGCAAAGTTGATGGACTCCATGAACCTGAGGCACGAAAGGACCAAGTGAGCTCAAGTGCTGCATCCAATTCAATCAATTTGCAAATTCTTTCCTTTCGGAAAGGTGACTGAATCCTTAAGACGGCGAGTTGCGGGGCACTTTCCATTGTATACGGATTTTGTTTAGAACAGTTTTCGTAGTGAAGTGATGAGTCAACCTGGAGTCAACCTGAACTGAGGCCTTCTTGGAAGCTTTGCTTGGCGATGGCTGCCCTGCTCAGGCTGCGACAATTGTATGCCTCAGTCACAAGACTCCTGTTCAGAAGGCTGTAGAACTTCACTGAAGAGAAAGAACTGACTGCAGTCTTTCGACTAGAAGTTTGATATTGCTGCATTGCTTAGAAGTGGCGAATCGTCTCAGAGCTTTTTGCTCTGATAACGAATTGTGTAGAGACCTTCACTGCGAGTGGCGACCTTTGAGACACACACGCACTTGGTGGCTAACTATGCAAAGCTGAGAAGCACCAGGACGGACTGATGCCGCTGATGCGTAGTAGAGGAAGTGGGAAGCCACTTCAGCCACATGTGAATTCAGTACTTTGTGGAGTCCGAGAGTGTGACGCGTGAATCTGGAGTGAGATGAGTCAAGACATGATATGGCGGCATTGCGTCAATGGACAACGGAGCAACAAGCAACAAAAAATACAGTCATCCTTTGACAACCAAGTTGAGCACCCCTTGCAACAAAATTTGCCGCACACCCCTTTGGAGAATGTTGGCGGTTGTGTTAAACAGTTTGATCTCTTAAAACATTGTCTCTTTGCAGTGTTGGAGGTTGAGCTTCTTCACGGATTCACGGATGTGTTTGCACAGTTTATCCTTTGTGTTTGGCATCTCAAATGTGTCGTGGTTACCTGGATGGCGGTTCCTGCGCGGTGTGCCGTCGCATGTGTATTGTGTAGGTTCGTGGAAGCGTAGTTTGGCATAGTCATATTTGCCTTAGGCAACGCAACTCAGGGCTGCAAATCGCAATGGCTGTGTGGGGTGTCCCGCAGTTACAGCATCTTGGGGTTGCAACTCACACTGTACCAATGGCTGCGCTTGGATTCTGGCTTGCTTACGCTAGGATGTCCATCAAAAAGAAGCTGCCTATGACGTTTCACTTTGTGTGGGGCGGTGCTTGCAAATGACTGACTTTTCCCTAAATGCATGTGCACATGTCATGTGGTAGGCTGACATATTACCGAAATGGGTGACTTAACCTGGGTGGCTTGCCGTTTAAATTGGCATTTCATGACCTGCATAGAAGCGTTGCAATTTAGCATCCTCAGGGGCACCATGTTGGGCCATTGGACATTCGATTGACATAAAGGGAATCATTCCTTCTTCCCAAGCAGATTATTGCTAGTGCAACCAAAGGGGGTATGCACGATGGCAGTTGCAGCAATGCAGAGGTGGCCTTGTTTGAATTGGCAGAGATTGGGTGCAAAATGGTTTTGTGCTGAGATTGATTTGGCTTTGGCAAAGCTGGCAACTAGACTATAACTGATTCCAGTTTGTTTCTTTCTCACTCGCCGGCGTTGCGAGTGAAATGAAAGCAAAGGAATTCTCAAGACCACTAGCTGAGTCAGTTGCACTTGGCTTTTGCAGGTTGCGAAAGATCTGATAGGCAAGCTTCCCTAAAAATCTAGGAACCAATTGAATGGCGTGAACTATCCTGTGTTCTACCTGGAAGCTAACTTAGCCCTAAGTAGTAGTAGTAGTAGTAGTAGTAGTCGGAGTAGGAGTAGGAGTAGTAGTAGTAGCAGCAGTAGTAGCAGTAGTCGGAGTAGGAGTAGGAGTAGTAGTAGTAGTAGTAGTAGGAGCAGCAGTAGTAGTAGTCGTCGTAGTGGTAGTAGGTAGTCGGTAGTTGGTAGTTTGTAGTTAGTAGGTAGCAGTAGTAGTTGTTGCTGTTGTAGTTGTAGTTACTAGTAGTTAGTAGTACTTAGTAGTACTAGTAGTAGTACTAGTAGTAGTA